ACTTCGTGATATTTAAGAGCAAGTAATAAAATCGACCTAACTGACTTTTCGTATTTTCTGAGATACGCCACTTCGTGTTATTGGCGACAAAATGTATGTTTTTTTCAACTCAAAGCCTTCCAAAAATCTCAGCATTGAACCATTATCATATAGGGTGTCAAAAATAAAGATATTGTGTTGGGGCTTGTTCGTCTCTGACAATGTGAAGCCTCAATTGTGGTTCGAATGTCGTTTGAGAAAAATTGGTTTACACGTTTGTCCAGCAATTCCGTAGGGAAGCTCAGTATGACATACGAGGGTGGTCCCAGAAGTACCCGAATCAACGAAGAAAACACAAAAAATTTGTAAAAAAATGTATTTATTTTTCAACATAATCTCCTTTGAGCTCTATACACTTTTCCCAGCGATGTTCAATAAGTTCGATACCATTTTTATAATGAAGAACTGTCTTGCTCCTCAAAATAGCCATTAACTACCGGCATCACTTCTTCATCGTTGGAAAATCTTTGACCACTGAGCCATTTTTTCAAGTTAGGAAACAGAAATTAATCCGAGGGGGCTAAATCTGGTGAATAGGGTGCATGAGGTAGCAATTCAAACTTTAATTCGTTAATTTTGGCCATTGCAATAACGGATTTGTGAGCTGGTGCATTGCCTTGATGAAACAACACTTTCTTAACCAAATGCGGACGTTTTTGCTTGATTTCATCGCTCAAACGTTGCAATAAGTTCGCATAATGCTCGCCGTTGATAGTTTTACCTTTTTCAAGATAGTCAATGAAAATAATCCCACGCGCATCTCAAAAAACCAACGCCATAACCTTGCCTGCAGATGAAACGGTCTTCGCCTTCTTTGGAGCCGGTTGTCCCTTTTGAGTCCATTGTTTTGATTATTCTTTTGTCTCAGGTATGAAGTGATGGACCGATGTTTCATCCATGGTTATGAAACGTCGCAAAAATTCTGCTTTGTTGCTGTGAAACTTCGCTAAACACTCAGTTGAAACACCTTCACGACACTGTTTTTGCTCGATTGTGAGCAATCGCGGCACCCATCTTGCACACAGCTTTCTCATGTCCAAATTTTCAGATAATATGCGATGAGCCGCATTCAGTACCGCTTTGTGAATTTTCTTCACCATTTCTGGAGTCGTCACGTCATTTGGTCGACCATTGCGATGCTCGTCTTGGCAGCACATACGGCATCGTTTAAACTCTACTACCCAATACTTTACTGTTGTAAACGAAGGAGCAGACTCACCCAGAGTAGAATCCATTTCAACTTTTACATTGGTTGGGCTGAGGCCTTTGAAATAAAAGTATTGTACCACATAACGATGACCAACTTTCTCCATTTTCACAAATTCGCTGAAAACGTTCAGTATTGATGGCTGCCAAATACTAAACAACGTAACATTCAAACTACATATACTTTATAGGTTGCATACTTTCTGATACAAAGATAATTTTCAAACAACTATCGCCATCCTAGGTCAGGCTGGGTACTTCTGGGACCACCCTCGTATTGTATAGAGATTTGCAGTATTCTTTTTTGGATTTTACATGCATTCAATCGACTGAGGAACTAATCCCAACTTGTAACTGAAAAGTAGTGATCTCATACTGCAAACGCGCGAAAATCCAGGTTCATAGTTTAAGTACCAATTTTATTTCTTTCCATCTGTGGCGTTTTTATTTGACGCAACTGCTCGTAATCTAACACGTAGATAACGGTAAAACACGACATTTCGAAGTTAATTGCAGATGAAATACAGTTTTATTGGCCATTTTTCCCACCCTATTCTCAGGAGCAGCGATATTTGAGCAAAAGTAAAAAAAAAACTTAAACGGTTATTACCGTTTTGTTAGCAGCATAACTGTCTGTCGCGTTTTTCGTGGCGAAAAACGCTCCAAATGTACGTTTAACATGAAAAATATTCTCGCTTAAGCGGAGAATATATCTTCCAAAAATGGCGTCATAAGCTCTGCGCACAAAGACGTGATTATATTAGCTAGGCCCACTTTACACTCTACGCTTCAGGAATTTTCACCTGAAACAACTACTCACACCACATACAGGGTCTAACAAGCCCTTCTTACAATCTGTTATCTGCCTTGTAAAACAGAGCAGATGAAACCATATTTATTTGCTCGGTCTATTATTTATTATAGAGTAAATAAATGTATTATCCTGTCATATACTACTACTATCATACTAGTAGCATGCTTAAGGGAATAGGCCACGCGGTAAAGACATTTGCAATCCGCTAGATGGCAGCTCGACTTACTTCGCATTAAGAAACCTACGGGGACTAGTTATTCATAGCTGACTTCTAGATACTTATTTTGTAATGACATACTGTCAAACGAGGTACATGATTATATATTGCAGCATTTCTTGTGGTATACAGAGAATATTCATTCTGCTGGCCCCAATCCACTAGACAGCTGTAGACCAGTACTTAAAAACAATAAATTTTTACGTTACCGTCAATATTGATCGACGAGTCATGCTTATTTGTTAAAGAAACACAGATTTGTTCCCCTAGCGTAGAGAGATACACGCATACAGAACTAGATACAATTACCATATTCATATTCAAAATTTCAATCTCAGTGCTTATGAAAAGAGTCCGATGTATTTATGTAGTGCCATGTAAAATAAAGTATCTTTAGATATTAAGCAGATTACCAGCTCATCTTTGTTTCAGGAACATTTTGCTAAATGAGGCATTTTACAGTATAAATGAATTTTTGTGCGAGTAACTTGTTATCCTTATGGTACGATTCCACCAAAATACTGTTGAGCACATTTGTTTACAAACATTTTGTGTGAAACTCCAGCATTGAATGTGCTCACTGGTATCGAATTTATCTTCTGTGTCCACCGGCAAAGCAGTGCATAACTTTTGTAAGCGTACAGTGTAGCACACTTGTGCACGAACATGTTTACCAAGCAAAGTTCTCACTAACTTCAGTTCTTAATATGGATGGGCGGGAATACGTAGTGTTTTGTGCTGCAGCTTGTGTTTTAATAGGTAGTCTGCTTAAAAAGAAACGAAGAAGAAAACCACGATGTTGGGTGAGACGTTTTCTGCAGCGATGGAATGAAGAAACGAATAGATTTGTAGAAGAAATAAAAGTAGATCCCTTAAGTGGATTTAAAAATTTTACTCGTATATCGTGTGAAGATTTTGAGTTGCTGGTCAATGCACTTAGTCCTCATATTGCAAAGCAAGACACCAACTACAGAAAATGTGTCCCTGTTTCAATAAGGCTTATTTATAGCTTTTATTGCCCAACAGATAATATTCCATTTATAGGCCAAAATCTTAAATTAGAAATATTACAAAAGCCTAACTTATAAAACAATCTAAGGCGCTCCCGCAGAACACATTTTAGCTCCGAAATAGAACATAAAAATATGTCACAAAACTTACAAATACTATTATAATTCAAACACATAACCCTTTCAGGTGATTTTAAAATTAAATTTGTGTTAGCACGACTGCAAAAGAAAGTTACATTACATCTTGGAACAAATCTTGGCGTTAAAAACTGTAGTTTTGATAATAATATAAAATAACAAATAATAAATCTGAAAACGCAGAACCTGAAGGTTTTGTATGCTCTATTTTCTTCTTTTCTCTTCGGTACCGAGCCAAAATAATCTTCCATTTTCTCATTACCTCAGTCGAGTCACAATTGAAACTTTGAGCCAACTCTTGAGTGGCGTCGTGTTTTTTGTTTCTGTTTTATAATCATGGTGACTGGAATCCCATAGAAGAGGATACGTTTCAACTGCTTGAATAAATTTTATAATCCTATCATTCGTCCAGTCCATTTTAAATTTCGTAAAAGAAGTGCGCGTACAAACAAATGTTTTCAGTCCAGGAGCGGAAGTAATACTGAGTTCGCGAACAATAAGTATGTACCCGCCGACGCGAGTCCACTGCTTGCATGTGCGCGCGCACAAAAGTAACTGATGTTCGCGAACGTTTCCGAAATGTTTGCGCACCATTTGCTATTGTGTGCGTGAGTGAGTCGACCAGAAGAAACATTTGTGTTGTAGAGTTAGCCTTCATGGATCAACATTGAATCAACCGTTTACATTGTCCACCACGATCGCCTGACCTATCTCCAATTGAACATATCTGGGACATGATAGGTCGCAGGCACTTGAATTTGCAACACCGTCCACATCCAGAACTGGCTGATACAACCGCTCCTTTGCCCCTTAAGTATCGAGATTGTGGAGCAATCTAAATGAGGAGGCTTCCCCAGATGAACTAATCGGAGGCAGTTTAAAAATCGGATTAACAAAGTTTCTTTAAGCTCCGGCGCCCTGGCATTTAGGTTTACGCCTGCGCGGCTGGTCAATGCATGTTGTATGTGAGCACAGCGTGATTCCAAATTGAACGCAACTCTTGATAAAACGGTGATAAAGCAAACGCTTTGTTATGAGTATGGACCCAACAATTTATTTTGTTCGATAACGGAAATCTATTGGACCATTTTTTGTAACATATTTCATTCATTTTAATATTGTAACGGCAAACAGCAGTATATAAATTAACCAAGGAACATTCTAAATACATCAAAGTCTTTCGGTATCATCATTGTTGATCATTACAATAGTTGAAGACACAAGTGGATAAAGGTGTCAAGCAAATTTTTCTTAAAAATTGCCTTTTTTGCAGAAAACTAACTTTAAGGGGTGATTCATTCTGTAATTACTTTTTTGCAAAAACAAGAACATAATAAACTAATTAAACTAACTATTTAGAATGTCAATAAACTAAAAGTTCCAATAAAAATGTTTCAAGTCAATTTTCTTCATAAAATGATTTTGTTACACCTTTATCCATTTGTGTCTTCAATTGGCAAAGACGTTAAGATGTGAATATAAACGTTTTTCTCTGACGAATCCAAAGAAATAGTGCATATGGCAACAGAGTATACTCTAGAATCTAGAAGTCTCCTGATGAACTACATAGACGAGTGCACCTACTTGCTACCACCCTCAGCACTCTTTATACGTACCCACAAATTAATTTAAAATCTTTCGATCTGCTAATTCGTTCACATACAAATTAATTGCGTTAGCATTAACTGCAGCTTCAAATTTAACTTGCCATTATAATCCATTTAATAGGAATTTACATATTGGATGGACGTAATTTAAAACCGGCACAAAATCCTAGCCTGCAAAATGTTACATATTCTACACAATGGAAACATTCAGCGATTTTTTAGAAACTATACAATATATAACATCTTATGATACCTCTATAATTTATAAGCAATAGCTAGCAAGTCAGCAGTCAGCAAATCTTCGCCTTGCGTGATGCTAGGCGAAATTTGGCAACACCGGCGTGTTTGTCGGCTCCCCTACTACCGATCTCAACAAGAAGCGTCTATTTGCGATTACTGATGGAGAACTATCGATTGTTGACACCATCGATAGTTATCGATAGTGTTGCTATTGGCTATCGATAATAATCGATAGTTTTCGATAGTCAAGAACAAGTGAGCGAGACAATTGACAACGAAAGTGTTCCGTTACAAATTCAAATTCTACAATTTAGCAAATATGGTATCACGGGGTTGGTCTACAATTCCATAAGATCAGCATCAGCATTTATGTCTTGAAGTGTATCAGTATCCAGTATCCCCTAGGGTCTTTTTAGTTTGTGTACTTTCAACTTCAGTTTCAGTCGACTCGCCTAAAATAAAGTATTTGATATAATAACGTCCAGTTAAATTTGATTAATGTATGTATTCTTTTGAGTATTGGTTCTACAATAAGTCCAATGAAACAGTTACATTAACTTACCACCGATATGTTTGGTGGTATTTAAAAATGTCTCCATTTCGTTATTATTTAATTAGTTGTAGTTCATAAACAATGAAATTGACACCGTATTTATTTGGAATTGCGAATATAACCTAAAAAAAAAAAAAATCAACTACCGCAGACACAGAGCCCAGAAAATATAAATCACAAAACATGTACACAAATATGAGGGTCACGGTGTCACGCACCCCTGGACAGTTGCCAAAGTCTACTACACTCTAACCTCAACTCTCACTAGCAAACAAGGATAAACCTTACCATCATTTGTGTGAACACTCACTAAAAGTCACAATTGGTCACAAAATATAAAACATCCGCAATGGCCTAAAATTCCATGACAAAGGAACATAGAACAACTATCGGATACTATCGATAGTATAGAAAAACTATCTATGTAATACGATTGCCGATACTGCCATCGATAGTTCTCCACCAATATTTGCGATGCTCAATTACTCAGTACCGGCCCGCCAGACATGCGCAACGCAGTACCTCATCGCCGTCACCGCCAACTGCGAAATTCGTGCGGTCATCCGATTTGAACGTTGAGTGAAGTATATGGAAAAAGGTTTATAAGCATTTCAACATGTCCTCAAATGAGGAAATGTTGCTCGAAGATTGGCGAATCACGATCCGGGAACAGGCGGTTGAAATTCCTTCTGAAAGAGCTGAGACGGGCAATCTAAAATCGACGTAGAGGACAACTTACTAAAGCGTAAGAGTGCACCACAACGATGCGCATCCTTATGTCTCACAACAATTGAAGAACTGAATCAAGTTACTTGGCTAGGAAGTCATTGCACATCCCCCTTACAGTCCAGACATAGCGTTTCCGGAATTGAAGTGGATTTCACGTCTAAAAAATGCGTGAAAAAAATGACGACCATGGAGAAAAATAGTTTAAAGATCAACGTTTCCAATCGTGAATTCGTTTTTCCAAATAAAAAATTCCTTGTGAATGAAAAAAATGTGGGCACCCTATTATTGACACAAACCTCGTAATTATAGGCCACTCGGTATTTTACATAACCTCTCCAAACTATTTGTTGTCTGTATACAAATAACTGTTTTTATGGTTAAAAATAAATTTCTCATCAACAGTCAATATGGCTACATTCAAGGACGATCATTAATTACAGGTTTTCACCAATTTACACAAAACATTAGACACTACATGTAAGATAAGCATTTAGCAATGGGGTTATTTCTTTACCTTTCTTCAGCATATGCCTAAATCATAACATCCTATTTGACAAATTGAACAGATATGGAATGAGGGCTAATACATTGTCCTGGATAAAATCTTACAAACAGGAAACAAGGTGTATCATCATCAAGTCAGGTTTCATTTGTAATGAGGTAGGTATACCACAGGGTAGTGTGTTAGGTCCCATATTATTTGCCATATACATCAATGATCGATAGCATTAAGAACTATGACTTAAGAATAATTAATTTTTCTGATGACACCAGCATACTCATTAGCGACAAAACACCATTGGATTAGAACATGGTCAGCAGGTGTTTGAGTCAGGGAGGAAATGGCTTGCAATAAATAAGCTTGTACTAAATAAGGACTAAACAGATTTAATAATATTTAGAATAAAGCAATCACAAACTCATATACCACAAAATACGACACTTTCAAATAGTATTATTCAAGTAAGTTTGCAAACTAAAGTGTTAGGAACACATTTATATGAATTTCTGTCTTGGACTCCACACATAAATATAGCCTCTTTGTCCTTAGCATAGTAAGGTACCTGTACCAAATAAGGCCAAGCGCCTTATAAGGCCATGCGTCGATTTTACAGACACTAGTTACATCTAGAATTAAAGATTTCTACAGTTCTATACATTCATTGAGATGAGTTAGCACCCATAAATGTAGCAGGTGTGGAGCGGCGCTAGATGGCGCAGTTGGCCAGTGTCGATTTTCAGCACGTGCCTTACAATATTACTACTTTAAATTTGTCTTCGATTTTTCATGTTGTCTTCTTCTTCTTGCGAAATCTGTTGTCAGTTCAATCAGGTAAGTCTATAGAACATATACAGCTAGCTATTTGTCGTCGCCAGGTTTTAAATATTTTGTATTTTATAAATTGTATGTTTAAGGTTATATGTGCCTAATAAGGCCATGATAAACGGTTCCCATTACGGCCACTTGGCCTTATTAGGAACACGCTGGCCATTACGGCAGATGTCTTAAATTAAGATGTTTTTTTTTTCAGAGACTATAGTCGAAATATGCCCTCTGAGAAAAGGGCGCTGTTGTCAACCGAAGCGCTTGTACAAGCACTGGATAGTATAAACAGTGGAACGTCGGTAAATCGTGCATTCAAAGAATACCAAATTCCACGAAGAACACATCGCAATCATGTTCGTACAGGTGTGCGAGAAAGAAAACTTGGTACTCGTACAATTTTGTCTAGAGAGCAGGAAGATGAACAGTATTATGCTCAAGGATAATCCGATTATCGGATACAGGAATGCCCCGTACACCAAAGATTTTGCGAAAATCCGTCTTTTCCTATGTTAATGACAAAAAAATTCGTCACACATTTAATGAAAATAGTGGAATGGCAGGTAGAAAATGGTTGAAATTGTTTTTGTACAGACATGAAAATATTCGCCAAAGGAAAGCACAGGTTTTAAATCCAGCTAGGGCACAGAAAGTAAATAAGTACATTGTAAACGACTACTTTAAAAGACTAGAAAGTTTGCTGATTAGACTAAACCTAATCAATCAGCCCCTTCGTATCTACAATGTAGATGAGAAGGGGTGCAGACTCACCATCCACCGCCAACCAAATGTGTTGGCGAGGAAAGGTGAAAGACGTGTTCACTATGTAGCTAATGAGCACGCAGAAAATTCCACAATAGTTGCATGTGGAAATGCTATTGGACAGGCAATACCACCAATGGTCCTGTTCAAGGGAAAACGTAAAAAGGATGAATGGGGTGACAATATGCCAACCTTAACAGTAATTGAAATGACCCAAAAAGGAAGTATGATGGCAGCAGTGTTTGTTAAATGGCTAGACCATCTAGCAAACTATAAGCCACCAGGAGATATTCTTCTCAATTTTGATGGTGCCTCTTCTCATTTGGATGCAACTATTGTTGACGCCGCCGAAAAACATCACATCAGTTTATTGTGTATTCCGAGTAATACGACACACGTGCTGCAACCGCTGGATAAATGTGTTTTCCGCAGTTTCGAATATCATTGGGAAAATGAAATACTTAACCATTACAAGCGGTATCCTGGCAGGAAGTTGAATCGTGCAAGATTTGGAGAAATTTTGAGGAAAGTGTATCCAAGGGCCATGTCTTCTGAAAATCTTCAGTCAGGATTTCGCGCAACAGGAATATACCCACACGACCCAGCTGCGATCCCGGAGACTGCATTTACACCTAGTTTAATGTCAGAGAGGCCCGATTCAAATACGGCAGCTACAGATGTTCAGGAGGAGAATGAGGGAAACCATGATGTCAGCTTTACAGAATCTGATGACATACCCCTTGCACTACTGATGGCCAACGGAACTTCAATGTTACAGATAACAGCTACTTCTAATGAAAAAGAAATAAACTCGACTCAAAAGTTTGCAGTTCTTGAAACAACAAATCTTGTGACTGGTCAAATAGACAGTGATCAATTGGATCTAAGTTTCAGGGAAGTACTTCTCACACCCGAATGGAAGGCCAACGCCACAAAAAGACGAAAAGCCATCAATTCTACTGCGCAAATCGTCGTAAGAGATTTGTTTAAAGAACCAAATCCAGGTCCATCCGGCTTAGATAAAACAATAAAAAAATCTAGTGAGTCTGGAACCGTTAAAAGCAAAAGGTCCCGAAAGAATAAAGACGAAAACTGGTACTGTTTCATATGCGATAAGGATGAAGTACGTGACATGCGTCTGTGTGTAGTATGCTTAAGATATGTCCATGAGGAATGTGTAGGCTTGTGTAGAGGTGATAAAGTATCATTTGTTTGTCATCATTGCGAAGGCAAAATCTAAGATTCTGTATGATTTTCTTTAAACAAGTTGACTTTTTTTATTTAAATCTGTCTAGATTTAAGTGTTTTTTTTATTTTGTTTAATTAGAAATATAGCTTCGTTTATTATACAGTCTTGATTTACATTTTGATTGTGGTTTTATTGAAAACCAGATGGTGACCTTATTTGGATACATGGGTTCCTAATAAGGCCAACGGTAGTGTTTCGAAAAATATATTTTTTTTAGATGAAAAGAAAAGGTCTCTGAGTTCTCCGATGTAGCTTGTGTAATAAACACATCTAGAATAATACCTTTAAAATTTCAAGGTCGTTTCGCAAATATTTACCCAGTTACAGCTATCCAAACGTTAATGTGGCCTTATTTGGTACAGGTACCTTAGTAGTACTGTGTAAGCATTTTATCAACATTCAAGTGATAGTTCTCAAGTTTTAGGCGGACAGACAGTCAGACGGAAACAAGTGACACGTAATATCTCATTAATGAAATGTTTTGCGATTACAATGCTTCCCGGCTAGCAGACGTGGCACGTAAAAATGATCTTTCGTTAGAAGTTATGAATAATAAATTCAGCTTAAAAAGATTTTTCCATCTGGCAACATCTAGACATTCATGTCTCGCCAAATAACAACAACACGTGGTTATATGTCACTCTATCCTTTTAAACTGATTTGTCCATCCTATGTCTTTCCAATTTCAATTGCCTTGTCTAATGTTTTCCTTTGGTGTAACTGTTGCCTAGGTGAATGGTGAACACAATCCTAGGGTAACATCGAAAAATAGAATTCTGCTACATATGCGGTTTTCGTTCACGATTCAAGTACTGTGCTCTTGCTGATACAAGCTTTGGCATTTTGGTAACAGCTCAGAAAAAGATTTACTAATACCAGTATTACTGAACAGAGCATAACTTTGATTTCTCTCATCTAGACTGGTCTGTTTCAGACTTCTCGAATCTGGAAGTGATCTTTAAAAGCATTATCTCCGTGAAAAGTATATAGATTAGATTTCCAATTATTCTGACCTAATTCAATTGAATATTGCTTCCATCTCGCTATTATAGTGCAGT